TTACAACCTTGAGGTTCAAACTGACCTTGAGGTTGAGTGCTTATCTACGGAGCCTCACCAGGACTCCCTAAAGTTATTTGAAATCACACTGCGAGGGGACTTTGAAAATTTTGTGGAAATTTTCCATTATCTTTTCATTCCATTTTTCCATGAACTTTTTAAAGCTCCCTCACCAACCACTCCTTGGAAACCCTATACAGGGTCGCTATGAGCTGGAACCGACTCGACGGCACTTAACCTAAACAACATACTCTTCAATAAAGATAGAAGTTACCATTTTTCTTGGATCCACAATCAACACTCTTAGAAGCAGCTGTCAAGAAATCAAATGAGATATTTTATTGCTTTAGGCAAATCCGCTGCATAAGACCTATTTAAAGTACCCAAGAACAAAGATATCAATTTAAGGACTAAGGTGTGCCTGATGTAGGCCATGGTATTTATTTTTAATCACCTCATATGGATGTAAAAGTTGGACAATGACGAAGGAAGACCATAGAAGAATTGATGCATTTGAGTTATGATGTTGGAGAGGAACATTAACAGTACCATGGACTGCCAAAAGAACAAACAAAACTGTCTTGAAAGAAGTACAGCCAGATGCTCCTTAGAAGCTGGGATAGTAACACTTTGTCTCTTGGACACATTATTAGGAGGAACCAGTCCATGGAGAAGGACATTCTGCTTAGTAAAGTTGAGGGTCAGTGAAAAAGAGGAAGACTCTCAAGGAAATGTACTGACACAGTAGCAGCAGTAATGGGGTCAAGCATAACAAAGATTGTGAGGTTGGTGCCGGACCGGGCAGTGTTTTGCTCTGTTGCACATAGGGTCTCTATGAATTGGAACCAACCCCGCACCTAACGACAACAACATATCTAGACTGAATTCAACTCACAGTCTACTTCCTAGGGGCAGACTTGTTTCTATAATTAGACTACTCAACAACAACAACAAAAAAAACTTACTGCCCTCAAGTCGAGTTCAACTCCTAGTGACCCTATGTTGTTGTTAAATGCTGTGGAATTGGTTCTGACTCATAGCAACCATGTATAGGATCTGGAAGGCTGTAAATCTTTGCAGGAGCAGAAAGACTGACCTTTCTTCCATGAATCAGCTGGGTGGTTCAAACTGCTTACCTTGTGGTTAGCAGTCCAGTGCTTGTCCTATGGAGTCTCAGTGGCCCTATTCCACAGGACAGAGTGGAATTACCCCATAGGATTTTCAAGTTTAGATGGATTGGGAAAGTGGCAGCATCAATGGGCTCAAGCATGGCAACAGTAGTGAGGATGGCCCAGCAACGTTCTGCTGTGCATAAGGTCGCTATGAGTTGACACCGACTCGATGGCACCTAACAACAACAACAAATCTTTATGGAAACAGACTGCCATATATTTCTACTGCAGAGAAGGTGATGAATTCAAATCATGAATTTTTTAGTTAATAGCCAAGTGTTTTAAGCACTCATCACCAGGGCTTCTAGAAGACTAGATGATGTTTAAGGTCAGGTAGACCTTCTAACGTCAAGACAATTTTTGGGGGGGTGGTGGTGAGAGTGAGCTGGTTTAGAGTAGGAACTCTGGAGTCAAACCACACATACTGTAACAACTCCAGCTCCAGCACTCAATAGCTGGGAGAGTTTGAGCACTTAGAATTCTCTAAGTTTCTGAATCTCTAAAATCAGGGTAATAAAAGTATCTCTTTCATAGGCCTTTTAATGAAGATTAAATGGGACCATCCATGTAAAGCATTTAGAACTGTGTCTGGTACATATCAAGGGCTATTAATATGAGCTATTAGAATTATTATTATATTGCCTCTGAAATGCTTCTCAGCCTTCAGCAACATCGTGAGTATTTCCAGGCATAGGAACAATAAGGCAGTGCAGAGCCCAGAGGATAGAGGTAAATGTGTGAGGGTGGCTACATTAGAAGACAGCTAGCAACACAGCAAGCTACCCATTTATTTTTAAAAATTTGTTGTATTTCTAGACAAGGCCACAAGCTTTGTATTTGTGGATCTCAAGGGGAAGAAGGGGATTTGCCCTCTCCCAGGGAACATTTGATAATGTCTTCAGACATTTTCATTTGTCACACTGGGGGTTGCTATTGGATTCTATGAGGGAGAGACCAGGGATACTGCTTAGCATCCTAGGATACATAGGAGGGTTCCTTCACAACAAAGGATTATCTTGTGCCAAATGTCAATACCGTGGAAGTTTTGTTACTGTTATGTGCCGTGGAGTTGGTTTTAGGAATTATGAATTACAGCAATGTAAATCTGTTTCAATTTTCAAAAAGTTGATGGTATTGAGGATTTGGGAACTTGTCGGGACATGAGAAAGGGTGACCTCTAAGAACCCCCCAACTCTAAGGCTTGAAGTATGCAGTTGAAGCTCAACTTCAGACTAAATCAAGAGAAGATATTCACTCTTTTCACTTTTGCCTATTTCCTTTTCCTATGAAACATTATGTTTTTTTAAAAAGATGGTTAGATATTAGAACATAAGACATTAGGTGAAATGTTTCTTGCTAAACAAAAGACTATCTGTGTCTTTCAGATGTTTGTAAGCTACAGGAAATCTTACCAATGACTTACTGACTAGAGTCTAGTTGAATGTTTTCATCCCATTTCACAGATAAAGAAACTGAGACTTAGAAAGGTGATGAGACTTGATCAAGGGTACATAATGATGTCCAGATTCTTCCAGAGAATTTATTTAACTTATTATTCACACAGCAGGGTAATACCATGAGCTCACCATGGGTCTCTTTTTCATTTGCTTTAATTCCTTTTCAGTTCCTGCATCTATTCCTAACATCCAAAATCCCTGATTAAGTATCTCACAATATGGTAGCCAACCAAAATGAATAACAATGGCAAACCCACTGTTTTTGAGCTGACCCTGACTCATGGTGATCCCATCAATGTACGAAGTACAACTGTACTCCATAGAGTTTTCAAGGCCATGAACTCTCAGAAACAGATTGCCAGGACTTTCCTCCAAGGCACCTTTGGGTGAATTTTAACTGCTAACCTTTCTGCTAGCAGTTGCGCATTTAACTGTCTGTACTACCCATGGTGTAAGGGTAAATTAAGGTCAGATACACTCTCTAACATCACTGTGGGTTAATGCACTGGACTGCAAAGTCGGTTTGAACTGTAAGGTTCAAGCTCACCAGCCGCTCCTTGGAAACCCTATACAAGGTCGCTATGGGTTGGAACTGACTCAATGGCACTTAACAACAATTACCCAAAGACTACTAAGATGGATGGTAGCAGTAGGAATTTAAAAAGCAAGAGAGAAAGAAAAGGTTCAAGTAATATTGAGGGGGGAAAAAAGAGGAAAAACTTGATTATTGAGTAATCTGTGGTAGCTACTGAAGAAGAAAGAGGAGAAATAAAGCAATAGTGACTCCAGTTCCCAGTGACTGGAAGGCCTGGAGGATGGTGGTGGATCCACAACAGACAGGAAAACGGGAGGTACTCTGGAATAATGGGTTGTGTATGTTGGTTTCTGAGTGCTACTCTGCAGTCTATAAAATCTGGGAAGCAGATGAGCGGTAGAAACAGTGTCAGGGAGATCTGGAAGAGCACAGGTTGAAGAAACCACATTCGATTAGTTGGTTATGAGGCCACTGTGGCTCCCAGAAGGAAGAGCATCCAGATTCCACAGAGAAACTAAGAGTACAACTGTCCTCCAGCCCAGCGGTCCCTTTGTGTTCCACTCAGGGCTAGACTAAATACTCCCAGAAGATCCTGCTAGTTCTGATGTGCTCCAGTTCTCCTGTCTATAACTTCACTGTAAAATGATAATATTTGCAATAAAAATCTTTCCTTTGGGGAAAACGATGCAAATATAAGCAAACACTTACAATAAGAAAGTGTGAAAAACATAAGATTTTAAAATTACCTAAAAATGCTACAAAACCTGTTAATTTTTTATGAATTAGAACACACTCATCATTTCCTACATTAAAGCTGTCCCTCACAACATACAATTTTCATCCTACTCCTGACTTTTCACTTGTTTCTAGGTATAGCATCCATTATTAATGTCCTGTCCCTTCCCACCTGTCCCTCCCACCTGTGCTCACAGCAGAACACAGCCTCCTCTCTTTTATCAGCCCCTGGTGCTCACGGGGACTAGGGCTTTATGACCTGGAGAGTCCATCCCAGCAATACCAAGTCTGAGAGGACAAATGCACATCACTGTTGTAACCTTTGATTGATGCCTCACCTACCTACAAACAAACATGGTTTTGTTGTTCATTTTGATGTTCCAAACAGGAAAATATTTTCTCTTAACATTGAACTTTGGGAAGACCAGCTAGGGTCTACAATTTTTTCACCTCTCTGTACCAACATCCAAACCACTTCTTTTGAAAGCAACTGAGAGCACAGTGTCACACAGTGAGGAAAATGCATCTGAAATCGGGATGGGGAAACTGCAAGACGCTAGTACTGGTACTGATCATGAACACAGCATGCGGCACAACATGCCCACACACTCACAACCACTTCCACACACAGCCAGTTACACACTAGTGAAGGCATACCCTGTCTCTCACACACACAGACACTTTGTTACATATCCAAGACCATCCATTCTGCCCACCCCATGTATGTATCTGATTACACACAAGGTTATGGATGACAATCTATTTTATAGTCAGTCTCTGTCTCTTTCTTAGACACACACACACACACACACACACACACCTCTATGTAGTCACTGAACACACACCAGTTTCACAAGTACTTATGTACCCAAGTGCCAGGTACTGACCCCAAACCCACAGTGGTCCCACACTGGAGACATGTCTACACAATCCATCGGCTCACCTAACACACACCCTGAACTGACACGCAGCCCATCCCTGCTGCAAAGCCGAGTTCTCCCAGTCCGGGCACCGGAGCGCCCTGTCCCCTCTTCCTCACGTCCCGACTTACACACCTGGGATCCCAGCGCCCTGACCCCTGGGCACGCTTGCCGCACCTACCCGCTGCCGGTGGTGAGGGGGCGAGGCGTCCTGACCGAGTGAAGCTGCCACCCCAGCCAGCGAGCCGAGCTTCTGCCGCTGCCGCTGCCGCCGCCGCCGCCGAGCTCGGAGCCGCTGCCTGCGCCCTCCCCGCCGCCCCCTCGGGTGCCAGCTCCAGCCTCCGCTCTGGGGGGCCAGCAGGCACAAAGCACGGGCCCTCGGGGCAGCAGGACCCCAATTCCGACTCACCTGGGCGCGTAGTGCATCGTCCTTCTTCCGGGAAGGAGCTGGGCTCCTCCTCGGGCTCAACAGCCCCCAGCCCGGGCTGCCCCTGCTGCCCTGCCCTCTGCCGCCCCCATTTGGCTCCTGGGACGGCTTAGGGCAAGGCCCTGATGACAGGAGCACTGGGAAGTGGTCCAGAGTTGGGCAAGTGAGACCTCACCCCCTCCAGGCTGGTCAGCAAGCGCCTTCCCTCCCTAATCTAAGCCGTTCCCAACCTATGGAGATGAGAAGTGAGACCTGGGCTTCCTACTTGTTCCTGGGTGACCTTGGACAAGTTGCTTAACATCTCTGAGTGTCCATTTCCTCTAATGAAAGGTAATAAATATGAAAGGGCTTGTGGTGTCGTGCCACGGGGAAACCCTGCCCCTGCAGTTTACTTCCTTCTCAAGCCTCTGACATTGCCAGTCCATGTTACTTTGGCAGGGAGGGTTTACAGTAAGCTTTCTAGAACCTTAAGGCTCTAAGTTTTCCAGAGAAAGGGTTCCATTTACTTGAAGTCTCCCTAAGTAACCTTGCCCATATGTTAGTACCACTATTTAGTAGATTGTTCCCTCGGTCGCCTGTTCTTACACTTCTGGCCATTTGTGCTCTTAAGCATGTGATAACACTGGACCCAAGCCTCCGTGGCCCCATCTGTGAAATGGGGACCATAAAGGCATCATTATGTTGAAGTTTCCCAGATCTCATGCTGTGTATAATGTGTATAATGCTATCTAGTCAATTCCCACTCATAGCGACCCAGTATAGGTTTTTTTGAGGCTGTAAATCATTACAGGGGTAGCAAGTTTTATCTTTCCTCCCGGAACAGCTGGTACCGTTAACAGTCTAACTGTAACCCACTGCATTTACCAGAACTCCTTGTAATAGCCGAAAGGAGCTATGACAATGAGAAACATTTCCCTCAACATATCAGAAAAAAAGCCTCAAATTTCAGAGACGAAATTTTGCAAGAGTTAAATAAGGCACATTGGGAAGAGCAGAGGGGAGTAGAACCTTCCTTCATTAAGACAGGTAAGGTGGGGAGGTGCCTACTGGGTGAAGAATTCATCTCTTTGGGGACCAGTGAGGCTGTCTAGAAGCTTGACAAACAGACTGAGAAGCTATGGACAGTGATTAACCTCAAAAAGCAAATAAATCTTCCAAGAAAATGTTAAAAATTATTCATTTACAATTTTAAATATAACTCAAGGGACCTGGAAATCTAGATTGACCATTCTTTTCATGCCAGAAACCGCTGGCCTGGTTCCTCTCAATTCTTCCCATCTCTCATTCTCTCCTTCTTTTCCCAGGCTCTGCCAGTCTTTGCAAGAGACTGTATTTCTTCCCCATTTTACTCTTACACATTTCTCTCTTCTTTCTCTCTCTTCCCATCTCAATCCCCCCCATCTTTACTTTATTTATTCTCTTTCTCTTATCAGCCCTTATCACTCTGAGACATTTCCACCCATGACTTCTCTCTCTGACTCCCTGAGTGGTGTAGAGACTTAAACATTGTGGCTACTAACTCAAAGTCTGGTGGTTCAAGGCTACCCAGGGTGATCTTGGAAGAATGGCCTGGTTATCTATTTCTGAAAAGTCATTGCCTTGGAAACCCTATGGAGCACAACTTAACTCTACAGCAAATGGGGTTACCATGAGTCTGAACCAATTCTAACGCAACTTGTGGTGAAGGTGATTGTGACAGTGTTGGTTACTTCTCTGGCATGCATTCATCTTATGTCCTTCCTTCAAAAAATGTTAAGTAAAGGGAGTGCAGTTTATTTCTCTAGTATAATAATATCTAAACCCAAATGTAAAACTACTCTTCTTCTGTCACTAACTTTCTGCTAAAAGATACCATTACCCTACCACTGACAGGAACTCAAAGCCTGACCATCTCTGACAACTTCACATCTGTTCTCCTTTCTCCATGTTTCACTCAACCACTTGTCCATGCTAGGAATTTAGTATGTCTAAATCATACAGAAAGCCCTGATGGTACAGTGTTTACATGCTCAGCTGCCAGCCAACCAAAGGAGCAGAAGTTTCGATCCACCTCTACTCCATAAGACAAAGATACGGCACCTGCTTCCATAAAGATTGCACCGTTGGAAACCCTATGGAGCTGTTCTCCTGTTCTATATGATTGCTAGCTTCATAATTGAGTGGATGGCACACAACATATAATTGTCGCGTGCATTCATATGTCCTTACGTTACTACTCCCATGGAACATAATCATTCTGGAACCGTCAGAAGGGTCTTCTTACTTATCTCTGCCTCTCAATCCATTCTCCTCACTGATGTCAGTGTAGTATTTCCCATGCTGATTCCAATCAACACCACTCACTTGCTCTTAAAAGGGTCCTTAGTGGGATTCTTAAAGGTGAAAGAGAGAGAAGAGGCCGCTTGAATGATATGATGTGATGTGAAAAAGACTTGTCCAACCATTGCTGGCTTTGAAGATGAATATCGAAGTCACAAGTCAAAAAATCTGGATGGACTCTAGAAGCTGTGGATTGGAGAAAAAAAGGATTTCTCTCTAGAGCCTCCGAAAGGAAGACAGTCTTGCTGACACCTTGATTTTAGCCCAGTGAGACACGTGTTAGCCCTGTGCCTACGTGTGAGGCAATAAATGTGCAAGGCTTTCAGACACTTAAGTTTGTGGTGGTTTGTTAAGCAGCAGTAGAAAACTACTACAATGACTGTCTTTACTTATGAAGTTACATACAAACTCCTGATTTCATTAAACACATTCCGAAGCAGTCTTAATAGACGACAATCTTGTCTTCCAAACAATCTGTTCCTTGAACACATTCTATTCTTACCTCCTCTGAGCCAGTACTCACAATGGCCTCTCTTCCAGAATGCTCGCCTTTAGATGTTGTCAGTACTGCCAACATTCAATGCCCATTAATTCCATGAATTGATCTTGATCTCTCCCTTCCATTGCCCAGAACCCTTGATATTTCTCAAATCATATTTTATATTATAACCAAACCCACTGCCATCTTTTTTTTTTTTAATGTTGTATTGTGAATTATGTGAGTTTACATGACAGAACATTAGCTTTACATTCATCCTATCGTATATCATTGCATTGCCATGGTTACAATCCCCTCCAAGCATCATCAACTGACCAAAGGGCATACCCTGCAAGTCTGTGCCCTGGTCATCAGCACACAGCCTCTCTCCCTCTCTGGGTCTACAGTCCCCAACTATTCCCCCTCTCCACATCATCGTCTCTGCCTCCATCTCTGGCATCACTGCTTCTCTGGGTAGGGTCCTGCACTCCGCTCTTCACCCTTGATGGTCCCAGGGCCCTCCGCTCCTAAACTGAAAAGTCAACCACACCCCTCCTTTTGCTACAAAATGTCTACCTTTACATTTCCAACCCTCACTGTCAGTCCTAATAGCAATTATTCACTATTGTGCCACAAGAATACCATCCCCATCTCCTTTCATCAGTCCCGCCCAGACAGATAGGATACTACTCAGTGGAGATTCTATCTTCTTCTGCGCCATCTAGATCTAGGCTCCTCCCCACTGCCATCTTAAATGGTGTTTTCTGATAGCAGATAAAAAGAAGGGAGGGCTTCAGCTACACAACTTCAAACTCTTCTTGGCTCTCTTCTCCTCAAGAACTGAGTCTGTACCTCTACTGCAGCAGTTACTACTAAGTTACATTATGAGCTAGTTATTTATAGATAAGCATAGCCCAGGGGATGGTGAATGCTTCAGAGGCAGAGACCAGATCTCAAGACCTTTCATAAGTCCTCAGCCCCTAGAACAACGCCAGGTAAGAACTCAGTAAGTGCTGTATGAATGAATAGATGAGAGCAGACTCCAATGTCTGGCTCAAAAAGCTTTCTTGCACAATCTGTCTCTATTTCAGTTGGACTGGTCAGTTGAGGCACCTCAATTGTTGCCATGTGGTTTTAGATGGGGCTGCTTTGCTACATAGCCAAGGGTAGGTATGTGAACTTCCTTCCCCTCTCCCATTCTGAATCAGAGCCTGAGGAGGGTAAAGATCCTGACTCTCCATCAAGACTAAACACAATGGGGGAAACTTTATATCCCCATCCAATCTGGGGTGCTGTTAGGAAAATAAAATGAAAGTTGGCAGCCTAACATGATAAATGTCTAGTACATATTGCTGCAGTATGCCAGGCATAGTGGCTCCTGGGCTTTGAGAGCAATTTCTCTGCCAGGAACCCTCCAGCATGAGGTGCTCAGAGTACTGCCAGGCCAGAAATACCATTCAGAGGAGATGAAAATCTCTGGTTCTTTTTATTTGTAAACTTGAAAATGTTAGCTTTAAATTGTCCACTTCTAGTCCACAGAAACATAATATTTCCAATTTGGTTGTCCACACTTTCTTCAACTGGTTCAAAGATCCTTTTACATACTTTCTACATAACAGCCTGCCAAACTAATGAAGCATATGATTAACACCACATCATCAGGGTCATCTACCTATAACATCCCTAAGCTTGTTCTAAGTTTATTACACATTAGGTACCTTAACGTCAGGATGAACTTGTGTGTATGTGAGAGAGAGAGAGATGGAAAGAGAGAGAGACAAATAGAGTAAGAAGAAGAAATCAGGCACAGAACAAAAAGAAAGGAACACAGAAGATGGAAATTAAATTCCAAATCTAAATTGCTGAAATAAATCAATGATTCTCTTAAACTCACAAACGTGAAGGCTGCATGCCTTCCATCCATTTAAGAGCTGCTAAAAATTTAAACAGTTGGGCAAAGTGTTTTAATGCAGCCACAAAAGGAAGGCAACCAATCTGTGAATACCTTTCCTGAGTTGTTGCCTTTTTTTTTTTTTTTTTTAACAAAGCCCACTGAAGAAAGGAGTCTCCAGAGCAGAAAGGAGACATGGTCATTCACAGGGGGACTCAGTTTATTTGATGAATGATTATACTTTGACAGGAAACAATTTCTCACAAACCTCTTCCAAATAAAGTTAAAAACAGAGAACCTTTTGCAATACATTGTTTTTAAGAGTCAAATCTCCATAGAGGTTCATGCTTATTCTTATTTTGCTACATGTCCTATCTGATTATCTCCCATACCTCCCTCCAAACCCAAATTAGACCTAATAGACAAGACCCATTGCCAAGATTCCTCACAATGGCTACCAGACATTTCATGCTATGGATCCTACCTCCTCTTTCACAGCTTTCTGCACTCCTGCTCTGC